AGAGAGAGAGAGAGAGGATGGGGCCCTTGAAAATGGTCTGGGAAGAACTTCTTTTTTTTTTAAATCACTGCCTTTACATGGAGTCGAAACCTCAAAGTTCGAACTTCTGTGAGTTAGTCAAGTTCGTTACCAACTTTGCAGCAGTATTTGGCTACACGAACAGCATACTTTCATCTTATGCGAAGAGCAATGTGTTTACTTCCTGGCATAAAATGTGACAACGCTGGGAATTCAAACTGAGGTCTTTGAAACCGAGTTATTCGACTTGTTTCAGCAAGTGACAACAGCGCAACCTTGCACCAGGAAGTGTCCCCACCCCGTCTCTATACGCGTGTCTACTCAACTAGATCTAGTTCTATTACCTAAAGTAAAGATTCTTTGCCTTGGCGACTAGATCTATTACGGAAAAAGTACTGTGTCTTGTTAGTTTTACTGTAGCGGGCCAGCGAACACAAATTGGGTTCTTGGGAGTCCTTGACCCACTGATTAGTCTAGAGAAAGAGGAAGGACAAAAAAAGAAACAGAGCACAGCCGCTGTAAATACCACAGAAGCACTTACAGGTAACATGATAGTCAATATCACAATTTTCTTTTTTTTCTCTTTTGTGGAAAACACCCCCTCCTTTTCCACCCCCACCCCCTTCACACACTTGTACGAAGTCTGCATTTCTTACCTTTAACACGTTCACTTTTATTTTTGTTCGCACGCAGTTCGTCTTACATTACATTCAAGCCAAAGTGAAAATAAAGGTAGGGTAGTGATGCATTTTCGGGTTAGGTCTGTTTGTTCTGAGAGACATTGTTATCTGGGTGTTTTAGAGGAATATAGCATTGGCTGATCGTAAAGTCGAAAATATTAATTAAGCTATCACTATCACAAGGTGGTTTAAGGAGAAATAACAGTGTCCAAATAGAAAACTTGTTATTTTCCCCAGAGAAGCGGAAATCACCATCTTTGACAACATCAAGACCACACCAGAGGACACCTACTTTGTGTGAGTACCTTTGGCCTATTTTTTCTGATGCTTCTTGTAACTTAAAGGGTGTTTTGAAGGCGACCTGCTTCTCTTTTTCTTTTTCACGGGCGCTGCTGCTCTCAGTGTTATTGTTTCTGTTGCGAGAGAACACAATAATTTCCTGTCTTTACACAAAGTTAAATCAATCATGGGTTCTTGCTTTCTTGCACAAAGTGCAAATTTTCCAAATAGAATGTCACCTGAAGGGATGGGCGGCATTTAGAATGATAACAGCTTCTCTTTCAAAGGGAATGTCTTGCTGTGCTGTTTATGTTTTCAAAAACAAGTCACCGAACTGGATAAATGATATTCAATACGGCCACCATTGAACTATGTAATTACGTTGAGCTAGTTCTGTGTTATTTGTGCTTATTTAAGCTTACATAAAGAGGGCACTTCTTAAAATTGACACATGAATTTTTGACTTTCCTTTCCGGAGAAACCACTTAAGACTTTCGAAGTACCACTCCCACAAACATATGGATATAGGAAACGAGCAACTAAACGCAGTGCGCGTTATATGGTGCGGTGTGCTTACTCTAAATGAGAATTTGAGATATGGTACAGAGAAACACATCGATCTAATTGCGCTCGTTAAGTGCTGGGGAAAATTAAAGCTAAACAGACAGAGAGAAACAACAGAGGGAAAGAAGAGGTGTAGTACCTTCCGGTGGCGCCCTGCGAGCACCCACAAGCTAAATCTAAACTACATTACTTCAGAAATGTCTATTCTTGC